GATGAGTTTATATCAAGTTTTATTGTTATATTTTACTTTTCTTATAAGTAACATTATTTTAATCCTTTTAATAGTATTATAACACGCTCACATATTTTCCAGGGTCATCGCAATTCTCTGCAATGTCACCCTAGCTGAATCTGAAAATCAGTATGTCAAAAATATAGTGAAAGGTCCTGGGATCTTCTTCGACCCTGTTGGCACACTAAAGATAATAAACGACCAATTTCATATTGTAATTCCCGTAGAGATCATTCCCATAAAAAATCATATAATGGACATAAATAAAGTGTTCAATAACGTTCAGTCTTATTGTCAGAGAAGCGAAGTAATTGGTGTTTCACAATGTCATAACTTATTGCAACCTTTAGAAGCAATCCTTAAAGATCTCCAACGTGACTTTAATGCCGTTTCACATCTAGTATCCGATAATTACGTTTCGAAAAGATCCGCATGGTTTTCCGGAATAGGCACTGTATTTAAACACATATTCGGTACCTTGACCGAAGATGATGCGAAGACCTATGAAGACGCTATTAAAACTCTTTATGAAAATGATAAAAAGATTTCAGGAACATTGAAGAAAACCGTAATTGCTTCCCAATCTGCCATTTCCAATATAAATCAATCCTTACATGAAATGAACCTTAATCAAGCAAAATTGAATGGTGTCGTCAAACAATTAGCGTCTTCGGTATCCAATATAACAAATGCTTTTAATGAGGTTAACTATAGGAATAATTTTTATAACATTTTAAATATTTTGCAATCAAGCTTACTGACTTTATCATTTAAGGTGGAAGACTTACTTAACTCCATTTTACTCATTAAAAGTAACACCTTGCATCCTTCAGTTCTAACCCCGAACCAAATGTACAATGATATTGTAAATAATTTTAAGTTACTACCTAAGTACAGAGATTTTCCTGTAAGCATAGATATAAGCAATATTCATATTCTAATTAATATAGCCGATTTAACTTGTTACTATTTCAATGAAAAATTAATGTTTATTGTAAAGATTCCACTCGTAACCTTAGAACATTTTAATATCTATAAAACTATACCATTGCCTATTCCACATACGGAGGGTAATTTAAATTCTTTCGCTATGATCCTCCCTTCGGAACAATTTTTAGCCTTGAGCACAGATAAACTATCTTATATCTATCTCAAAGATTTAAATGATTGTAAAAGCATACTTACCGATACTTACCTTTGTGAAATAACCGATGTCTACGCAGTACTTAATAATCCTTCATGTGAAATCGAAATAATTACTAAAGCCTTAACTACCCTTCCCGTAAATTGTCCTGTTAAGGTCATGTTTGGTGATTTAGATATTTGGCATAAGCTAAATAATAACAAATGGATATTTGTACAATCAAAGTCCACTAAATTGTCTAATGAATGTAATCAAAATGTATCTGAGTTAGTTATATCTGGTACAGGTGTACTAAATTTACCAATAGATTGTGTAGGTTTTCATAAAAACCTTAAGTTGGTGACTAAAGTGTATCCCAAAACATATGTACCCGCTGTATCCTCGAATTTCGATATTATTAACGATGATTGTTGTAAAAGTGTAAACAAATTAAGTAATAACATTTCTATTCCAAAAATCAAGATTATTAACCTTGATAATTTAAAATCACTTAAAGCTATTTCAGACATGTCAATGGAGGATCTAAATGAGATCAAGAATCCTAATAGTTTTAATAATCATGTTAGCTTTCCTATTTTAAGTATTTTCTCTGTAATCCTAGTTATTAGTTTTGTTTTTGTATATTTTTATAAGAAAGGCAAATGTTCGAGAAAACTCCAAGTTTCCAATAATATCCCGGTTGAGCAAGATAATAATCTGGAAAACCAGAGAAATCCTTCAGTAGCTCGCTTGCGAGTTTGTTAAATATTAAGTAAACTTACAAATAAACCGTAAGTTTCCTCATAACGAGGGGGTTGTTAAATATTTAAAACCTTAGAGACAACCCTATGTCAACCTTTATTTTAGCAAGCTTGCATCTCCTATTCAACTGTCATGAGCATTATCTTTCAGCTCAGTCCAGTCCCATTTTACGATTCAAACCGAGCAGTTGCCTTTCTAAATCTATATTTCTAATTAAATCCTTTGTGTAAAATAAAATCTTTTTTTAAAACTCAAAATCCGGGACGTCGTATAACAGAACGTTTGCGTAGTATGGGGCTAACTGTCAAATTATCTAAATGTACATTTTTGCAAGATAGTGTTAAGTATATTGGTTTTATTATAAATAAAGAGGGTTTGTTACCAGCCCTGCGATTCTGTAACTCACTTTTCGAACTCACACAGCGGTTTTCGCATCGGGGGTCGCTCTGAAATCAGTCGTGAAGCAGTCATTTCATGATTTGGCATTCTGATAACGTGGGGACTTGTAGTTTATTGTTTATCAGAATGCCAAATCATAAAATGACTGCTTCACGACTGATTTGAGAGCGACCGCCGATGCGAAAACCGCTGTGTGAGTTCGAAAAGTGAGTTACAGAATCGCAGGGCAGATCCTGATAAGTTACAAGCTATTAATGATGCACCCACGCCAAGTAATGTAACTCAATTAAAAAGTTTTTTAGGCATGTTAAATTATTATGGAAAATTTATTGTTAATTTAAGTACTCTTTTGCAACCGTTACATAATTTATTAAAAAAAAATTCTTCTTGGGACTGGAATTCGAAATGTGAGGAGGCGTTTGTAAAGGCAAAGCGATCACTCTTGAGTAAACGGGTTTTAGCGCACTATGAGGAAGGTCGAGAGTTAGTTTTGTCAGTGGATAGCAGCGCTTATGGGCTGGGTGCTGTGTTAGCGCACCGCTATCCGGGCGGGGTCGAGCGGCCCGTAAGCTGTGTTTCTCGCACGCTTAATGCGGCGGAACGCAGTTACAGTCAATTAGACAAGGAAGCGCTCGCTATTGTCTTTGGTGTTTTTAAACATCATCAATATTTGTTTGGAAGACGTTTTACATTACGTACAGATCATCAACCGTTGACATATATTTTTGTCAGTAAGGGAGGTATTCCTCTGACTGCAGCAAGTCGGTTACAGAGATGGGCAGCACGTTTGGCTGCATATGATTTTACGATAGAATTTGTACGATCGGTAGATAACGGTCCAGCCGATGCTTTGTCGCGTTTGCCGCTTCCTCAAGAGGGTCGATTTGCAGATTCAGTAGATTATCTTAATTTAGTTGCGGACTCTTCACCTATTTCTTATAAAGATATTGCCAGGGAAACTGAACGAGATAATTTTTTGTGTAAAATCAAACGGTATATTTTTTTTGGTTGGCCAAGCGATCCGAGTTGTGAAGGTGAAAAACCATATTTTGCTAGAAAACATGATTTTGCTGTTGAACAAGGTTGTATAATTTATAAATATAGAATTGTGGTTCCAACGAATTTACAAAAAAATATTTTATATGAAATTCATGAGGGTCATTTGGGAATGAATAAAATGAAAAGTTTAGCTAGGAGCTACGTGTATTGGGCGAGTTTAGATCGCGATATTGAGACGCTTTGTAGGAACTGTGGGGCGTGTCGGTCCGTGTTGGATGCGCCACCCCGAGCCCAAATTCACCCATGGGAGTTTCCTTTGCACCCGTGGCATCGTTTGCATGCTGACTTTGCGGAATATGGGGGTAGGCGGTATCTTATTGTTGTTGATGCAAACACGAAATGGATAGAAGTATTTTCAATGACTAATACCAGCGCGTCTTTTACAATTAGGGTTTTCAGAAATATTTTTGCAAGATTTGGTTTACCATCACAGCTCGTGACTGAAAATGGTCCACCATTTTGTTCTTTTGAATTGGAGTCTTATTGTGTAAGTAATTGCATTAAACATACTTCTTCGGCTCCTTATCGACCTCAGGGCAATGGAGCAGCGGAAAATGTTGTCAAAACCGTTAAAAAAACAATTAAAAGGGCAGTTTTTGAAGGCGAAAATATTGACGCAGCTCTCGATAAATTTCTTACTTGCAAGAGATTATAGGCAAAGAGGGGAGAAATGGGCTTCAGGAAAGGTGTGTAAAAGGACGGGCCCGGTTTCTTATAAAGTTGATTTGGGCAACGGTATTGAGTGGCGTAGACATGCAGACCAAATTATTTCAAATAAAAACAGATTTTCAATGTCACGCACGAATACAGCGGTTGTCTCAGAACAGGAGGGTAATAATGGGCTAGGGTCTGAGATGGTGGAGGTTACAACTGAAGAGAGTGATCTTAATAAAACAATCAACAAATCAGATGATCAAGCGTGTCAGGTGGAGTCTCAATCAACACAGACCCTGTCCGAGTCCTCTCAGGAACTATCGGCTCGAGCATTGCGTGCTTTAAAGCGAGCTAAAAATAATAGTTGATAAGTTGTTTGTCATGATTAAAGATTTTATTTTGGTTTAGTTTATTAAGTACTAGGTTATGTAAATTTTGTAATATTTCTTGTATTCCTATTGTAGTGGTTTAAAATGTATTTCGTGGTTTGTAGGGGAAAGATGTAGCATCTATCGCCTACCTGCTATTACGAACATTAATAAATCAGTCTGTCTTCCGAGCCCGCCTTTTATTGACGTATCACTTTATAATATATTTAAAAGTAGCATAGGGTAACAGCTATTAGTATTAATACGAATCCACCCAAATGAAGAAGTGCTCTAAGATCTTGACTATTCTTTATTGCTTGTTGCAGACTGTCACTTCCAGACATATCTACGTAAAAATCTTCACGCAATATCTTAGCAGCTTCTGGATACCGGTCGCCTTCATCTTCTGCAAATTTCATAAGAGTTATTACGGCGAGATAGGGAGCAGAAGCTGTTCCAAATGTAACAGTCAACAATCTGTAGTTTTTGTCTTCTTCAGATTGGTCGTTTCTACACAAAATTCTTTGATAATCTGTATCGGTCAACCCATATCAAGGGTTCATTTTGGACATAACAAAGCAAATGGCGCGAGTTCTCCACCTCATTATGAGGTTTCACAGATCGTCTTGCAGTACAGGACCCGTCAACAGTTCGTCATTAATAGAGGCACCGTTGCAGCCCTTGCAAGAGGCGTTAAATACGACACGAATCTTCGTGGTTTCTTTATCATTACGGATCACGGCGTGGTGAGGTAAGTAGACTGATTTATTATTTATTTCGTGTGTAGGTATTTCTTCGATACGGTATCTTTTCGTATTTTCATCAACTTCCCATATTGTTTTCAGTAAATCTTCTTTATCAACTTCTTGTTTTATGACCGTTAAGGATTGCTCGTGCTTCCTGATCTTGATGTCAATTCCACCCATGAGGTTTATTCCAGGTATGTATTTTGTGCGCATGGTGTACCTGGTGGACCTTTGATCAATCCCTTCTTCATAATGTTTACTTACTCATTGAGACCCACCAACGGATCGATGTTACAGACGGCGGTAAATGTTTCGTCTGCCAGTTGAACGCTTAAATGTCATTGCTTGTGGCGGCGTCCATGCGTCGGGTTGTCTCTCTCCCTAAAATATGGTGAGGGGGCCAATGGCTGGCCATGCGTCATACTCGTGAACGGGTGCTACTTGTGGTGACTGGTCGTACTTGAATTCGTGTATGCGGTGATGTTAATTATTTCGACTATGTGTTTGCGTGTTGTTCCCACGAGAATGTAAGTGCGTGCTCCTATTTCACCATGCCTCCTGCTGATAGAGGACAACTCTTTGTTTTTAATTTATGTTATTATTATTAATTACTTAAGATGTCATGTGGAACATGGTTTAATGGTTGCAGCTCCTTACAAACGTTGTGTGCGACGATTAGAGGCGATTAAAAAGAGTGGCGGAGAGTTTATTGCCAGTTCTTCTCTTCCGTTCTACGCCCTTGATTTGAGAACTGGCACTAAATGTAAAATTAGAAGCATTAATATTATGTATTTCTTTGCTGACAAGTCATAAGTGTACAATGTGTTACCCATATGATTAAATGATTTTTGAATTGAATTTGAATGCCAGCAAGGTGCGGGCCAATCTCTTCTTATTATTGTGCCTGAAAGTATGTTAGAGGTCAAGGGATTCTTCATCACATAGGCACGTATACGTAATAGGTAAAATGAAATTGTTCCATCGTGATAATACATTTACATTTACTTGGCTCTAAAGTGGTATCAGGGGTTGCCAAGTCTCATGTTTTCATGGCCTGAATGGCAAGATAAGTTAAGATAAGCTTTTCCTAGTGAAGACAATTTTTTTTACTAAGACATCATGGAACATTACAATCTAGCCTAACTTAAGACTAATAAGTAATTTAAGTCTAACCTAATTTACTAATAAGGATTTTACATAAGAAAGTGAAGACAATTATGCATAACTACTGACGGATATGCTCGCTTGCAGAACGCGTCTTGGCGAACCTTTAGAGGAATATTTTTTTGAAAAAACTGTTCGTTTATGATGATTATCGTGTATAATAGATGTAATATAACTAGAATAAATGCAATTGATTGTATTTTGTTTGGGATAGAGGATCGATCCATAAGAACCAGTGCTGAAGCGGCACAATTTTCTGAACCAGACAAATTATTAGTTTATCTAAGAAATGTTAAAATTGTAAAAAGAACTGAGAAGAATAATAGCTCTTTTAAATCAGGCGCTTCTGATAATAAGCGACAGATAACAAATAAGTTCATCCAAATGAGATCAGAACCAACAAACAATTCAAAACATTATAACTGTAGTGAAATTGGCCATCCGTATTACAAGTGTAAGCAACCCATTAACGGCCAAAATTAATAATGTATCCTCAATCTATGATTATAACCAATCTTGGACTGATTCATATCTAAAGACCGATCTCCAATCTGCATGCCAATAAACATTTCTGCTATCCGATTGTTTATTTGACAAAAGATTGACAGCAATCTTTTGCGTGATCCTTCCCTCTCGACCGCGTTTCGTTCGCAACGAAACGGGCTGTCATTTTCATATGGTATTTTTGTTTGTTAGGTTATTGAGTATTTTAGTATATATTTTAATTTTTAGTTCGGCGCCTTCGGCTTGACCTTTCAAATAAAAATTTTCTCTGAGTAGTTTGTGTATGTTGTTTTTGTGATTCGAGGTTGGTTCTTTAACTTAAAAAAATGTCTACGCAAAAACGTGAAAGAGGCGTCAATTTCAGCCGGGAAGAAGTTGACCTTCTAACTTCGCTTGTTGCTGACCATAAAAATATATTAGAAAATAAAAGAGTGACTCAGTTACCTGGCAGGAGAAAGAGCAGTGCTGGAAGACGCTGGAGGCGCTGTTTAATAGCACAAGTGGGGTAAACTTTCGCAGTGCTAAAGCTTAAAGAGGGCTACAAGAAAAAAGTCTGCCTTGATACATGCTGAAACATATCGTACAGGAGGTGGCCCTAGTGCTGCTACTCCTCTTACCCCTATCGAGGAAAAAGTCAAAGACATGATATTGTTGTCTGTCGAAGGAATTGAAAGTCAATTGAAAGGAAGAGCTTCTAAATAAGAGAAAGCAATGGGCATTTGAAGAGGAAGCAAGAGAGCATAAAAGAGAATTATGGGCCATAGAAAAAAATATATTGTTAAATAAATTAGAAAAATAATAGATTTTGTGCCTGGAGCAAGGATGTATTGTATTAAAAATTTGTATTTTTATTTGAATAAAAGCATTGAATTTTTATTTAATTTATCTCAAAAATGTTGTAATTTATAAAATATTATAGTAATAAAGCAAAATAATCATTTCCCACGTTGTCAATTGCGCTTTGATCAATATCATTAGCTGGTTCATCATCATTAATTCTTGTCTTCTTATGTCTTCGCACAGAAGTACGTTGTCTTCTTCCAGCTTCAGAATTACTATCCCAATCGGATAATTGCATTTAAACTTCCAAATCACTATCACTAGAACTGGAAGATGACGAAGATGAATAAATTTTCCCAATGAATATTAAGTTAGGTCGCAATCCCAAACCCAAATCATACGAGTTTCACCGATAGCAATCCGAGATTGATTTGGCCAATCGAAGCAACTGTCAAAATGGACAGATAGGTTGTTGGCATGAGTAAACATTCATTTTCATACAGAGGGCAATCTTCAATCTCTTATCCGCCCTCTGAACGATTGGTTGAATAATTAGATTGGTATCTCAGTCCATGGACTTAATATTGACATGCTTTTCTTTAGAAATGGATTGAATTGTCAGTCTATGACAGCTAAAATTGGATTGAGATTGCATATTGGTTTTGACCGTAAGCGATGCAGTCAATGTCATAAAGTTGGACATCTTGAAGCAAATTGTCCTGTTAAGAAGGAACCTAGTGATGATAAGGCTGTTTTACGGATATCTCAGGAACTAGATTTAGATCTAAAATATTAAAAAAAAGCCAATGTTAATGGCTGTGAACTAGATTGTTTTGTTGATTTCGGTAGTCAATGCACTATATTAACGGAGTCTGTGGCGAAAGAACTAGCGTTTAGTTGGTCAACACAGGACCTCAGGCAGGTCGAGGTTGAGGGGTTTTGGTGATTCTTTGGTTAACAGTTTGGGAAAATGTAACGTTCAAATTAAGGTAGATTCGGCTAAGGCTAATGTAGATGTCCTTATCGTTCCCGATTGTCCGTTGTCAACTATGTTTTGTCATATCAGAAATCCTATTCGGCACTTAAAAGATGACCATGATTTATGCAAGACGATTCCTAACACAAGAATTTGTCAAATAACTTTATCACCATGTAGGTGATGACCATGTATCATTGGCTGGAATGATCGACACCGAATAAATATTTTTTTTTGTAACATAAAATTATTCTGCTATCGTCAAATTAAATAAAGAAAAATTATCGAATTGTTGTTGAGCGTTATGGAGCGCTTGTTGAGCGTTATGAAGGGTTGTATAATAAAAACTAAAGATTTTCAGGTCTATTATCATAAAAGGTTGTCTAGTAACATAAGTATTAATTCAGAATATGAGGCATTAGAAATGTCGCCAATAAATCACATTATTAATATCTAACTCAAAATTTCCAAGTCATGAATTTGATTCGAATATTTCAAAAGACATTCGACAAGTTGAAGAAATAAACAGAAATATGGAAATCTTGAAACAGAGCGAACCATTGAGCACCAAGATATCCTACCATGATGTTCACTATTATCTTCTTATGTATAAAATTCTCGTGTCACAATGTTAGTTACCATACTACTTCGAAACGGCTCGACCGATTTTATAAAATTTTATATGCATATTCAGTAGGTCTGAGAATCGGCTACTCAACCCTTTCAAGTGATATGGGGTGTCCACCCCAAAAAAAATAGTTTATTCTTTAGAATATTTTTTTTGTTTTTATTTTTTTATGATACAGCATACAAAATTACATAATATAACCCCTAATTTTCACCCCTCTACGATCAACCCCTATTTTTGATTATTGTAGATAGCTATTTTTATTGAACTAAAAAAAATTGTCCTAGAAATAATATACATGGCAAAACAACGTTTGCTAGCTAGTTTTATAATATATGTTTTAATAATCTCGGTTTGAGACGGTTGCATCGACGAGCCTATGCAGAGCCGGTCGGCGGTGGACCCGAAGCCTTAACCAATTACGCTAGTCGTTTTGATTTAAACTTAAAATATAGCCAACTCTAAAAACATTTTATTTAATCAAAGCATCAGCAATCAAAGGAGCTATTAGAAACACCACAAGTACATCGGGAATGCATTTTCAAATAATTAATCGACATTTAAAAGCAAGTTGTCTGCGAATTATTCAATGCGCGCTTCTATGGCTTTGATGGAGGAATTTTTGTTAAATATTATTGTGATTTATTAATTTTATATTAAAATGCCAATGCCTTCCTTCGGCCTCGGCCCTAATATTGAGACTGGCCAATTGGATAATCCATGACCCGCCCAATAAGGTTGTAACCGCCCTAGATAACTTTAATTGTAATGCCTTTACTTGTAAAAAATAAACACTTTTTTAATAAATGTTATGACTGATGAACATAATGACATGATATGAAGTCTTAGTAAGTCAGTGTAATTAGTTTTTGTACCGTTCGGACGTGGGATGTGTCGTAAAATCATAACTCGTTGTGTCACACACCTGTGTCGTGATTGAGTATCTAACATAATATATTTCCTAGCTAATATTGTAAAACATATTTTCTTTGTAGTCCGATATGTTTTTATGTACAATTCGTTTACTTAGACTAGCTGTTTTATAGATTTTATTCAGGTAGAATTCACTCTTGTTAAACAACAATCGACCTTCTGACTAAATAAGTCACAACTGATTTAATTATGAGAAAATTAATAGTTTTACAGCGGCTTCAAAATGTTAACCTAACTTGTGCCCGCCGGTTGCTTTTTGTTCCCAATTTACTCTTGAGATCTCGCGGTACTTAATATTGAAGTCGAGATTACAGAGTTCTAGCGCTGGACCAGACTTTGCCATAACTACGATCCGATATAGTGATAAAGAAAACACAAATTAAATTTTTTTTCTCTTTAATTTAATCATTAATCTACGTTTTAGATATTATATAAATTAAAATATTTAATGCTAAAAGTGCTTTGTATGCAAATAAAAAAAGGGGGAACCACTGAAATATTTTCTAATCCCTTAATGGGGTGGGACAAACTGATGTCTGGTTTTATTTTATTGAATCTTCAACATTACTTTTAATTTGCTTGAGTTTTTTAATGGCAGTAATTCATGAAATTTTTTCGGCTTGTATGAAAACTCCAGCCTAGTTTTTATACAAACAGATAAATTTTTGTTTTGTGTTAAATAGGTAAAATTTGGAGGTTTAAGTATTATTAATTATTTGATAATATAATTTTAGCCCGTGGTCTATGCTGATACTCTGAACACGCTCCTGAAACAATTAAAAGTACATAGTTTATTTGCTAAATATTTATACCTTGCAGCAATCCCAGCATTAATCGTTTGGATATATAATGAGACAGCCTGACTTAAGACTAATAAGTAATTTGCAATATATTTATGAAAATATTATGTATGTATACAAAAATAGTGATAATTTTACTAGAATAGAACATACGCACAATGTTTAACAAACGCAGGCTGCAATTTCTTAAGTTAGTAATTCTTTTTGGGAAAAGGGATACTTTTCTTTAATAAAATCCTAGAGGCTCTTTTATCTCTGCCTTTTAATAACATTCAAGAAAAGCTGTGTAAAAAGGCTTACTATTACATTATAGTATTAATAATAGGTGCAAACGATAAACGCCCTTATACCTTCATCTCACAATTGTGTAATGTGTTAATACCAATTGCGACAGCACCACACACGCTGTAAAGTACGCAAAACGTCGGATAAATTTAAAATTATGTTAAATAATTGTAAAATTATAATAATACATAACTTTAATCCGGTTAAAAAGTTTTTTCTTTAAATGTGTAAAGGTTATGTCAATAAAAGACAATACAATTAGACTTACAATATAAAAGCAATAAACTAGACATAATTAATGAGTGTGTATTTTTAGGTATAACGATAGATAAATTTTGTAGTAGGAAAGCACATATTGAAAAATTACAGAACAAAATAGACAGTTTTGTTTTTGTGTTAAAACGACTAAGGGAAACTGTTAACCATTCTACGGTATTAGCTGCTTGTCAAGCATATGTTCCCCCTTTTTTTTTATTTTTGAATTTTTTTTTTGGGAAATTCAGTCGAAGTAAATAGGAAATTTAAGGCTCAGAAGAAATGTATTAGAGCAATTTGTGGAGCAAATTGTCTTGATAGTTGCGTACCTTTATTTAAAAAGCTCAAAATTTTATCTCTTCCATGTATTTATTTTAGAAATATTCTTATTCGTGCACAGAAACATACATATTTTTAAGTCAAATGTAGAAGTGTTTCGGAAAAACACCTTTTGTATGGCAATTAAAGTTTACAATAAATTACCAAAAGAATTAAAAGATCTTCTGTCTAGAGTCTTTAAAAAGCGATTTAGTGTATTACTTTTAGAAAAATGTACTATTTAATAAATGATTATTTGCGTTAAACACTGTAATTAATATAAAATTAATGATGTCATGTATATATTAGATCCTTACATATGAAATTGGCGTATTTCGTACTGGCCACTTTAATCACGATGTTCTCCTCTTTGGTAAGGAATTCCAAATTCAAATTTGTACAGCTATTTACTCATGTATTTGTGCTTCGATGACCGTCATTCATTTGTTTTTTTTCTTCTGTTTTTTCTGTTTGCGTCACTCATTTTACAAAATGGAAAACTTAAAGTATCGCATTATTTACGAGTACGAGTACCGTCGTGGAACTAGTGCTGCGGAAACGACTCGAAGGGTGAATGATGTGTATGGCGGTCATGTTGCAAAAGAAAACACAGTTCGTTTTTGGTTTCAACGTTTTCGTTCTGGAAATTTCGACCTGCAGAACAAGCCTCGTGGACGGCCTGAGTTGATAATGAAGTATTGAAGGCTATTGTGAAATTGGATCCATCGCTAACCACGTCCGAGTTAGCTGCAGGCTGCGGTGTTAGTGATAAAACTGTTTTAATTCACTTGAAGCAAATTGGGAAGATTAAAAAGCTTAAAAGATGGGTACCTCACGAATTGGCTGAAGCAAACCGGCAAACGCGCGTCGACTGCTGCGTTACATTACTGAACTTTGAGTTACTTGTAAGCGTTTGGTGGACTAGTGCCGGTATTGTTCATTGCAGTTTTCTCAAAACTGGCCAGACTATTACGGCTGATGTCTATTATCAGCAATTGCAAACCATGATGGAAAAGCTAGCGGCTAAACAACCTAGGTTGGTCAATCGCTACACGCCACTGCTACTTCACGACAACGCTAGACCACACACTGCACAACAGACGGCTACCAAATTAGAAGAGCTTCAATTGGAATGTCTAAGACATCCTCCGTACTCCCCGGACCTTGCTCCAACAGATTACCATTTTTTTCGAAATTTGGACAACTTCTTGCAAGGGAAAAATTTAACTCTGATGGGGCAGTCCAAATGGCCTTCACAGATTTTATTGATTCCCATCCGACTGGTTTTTTTAGTAAAGGGATCAATGAACTACCTATGAGATGGCAAAAGTGCATAGAAAACAATGGTTCATACTTTGATTAATTAAATATATTATATTTAAAAATATTTGACTTTTTGTTCCTCCCATACAAAACACCAATTTCATATGTAGGACCTAATAGTATAATAATAGACCTTAAGACAAATTTGCGCGCCATCGTGTGTGGCAGAATATGCGAACGATTTACGATTGTATCACCTCAACATTTTGTACAAATCTTTTGTTCTCTTATCTTTTCTTGCAATAAATAAATTATTATTATTATTATTACTATAAAGTTAACGATTATCTAGTTGATAGAAGGGCCTGGGAGTAGTGCTAGACAGGCTATTTCTAATTAATTTGCGATATTTGTTTTAAAATAAGTTTTGTTTGATGATTTGCTATTTTAAAAGAGTACCGAGAGTTTTATCGATTTCTCTGGCTATACCTCTGTCTTCTTTGCTGATGAGTAGGGATGTCTACAGATTCAAATTTAATGACGTGGAATAAGTGATACCTGTATCTTATAGTACATATTATACATATTTTATTTTAAGTCTAACCGAATTTACTAATAAGGATATTTAACATTATAAAGTGTCCGGAAATATCATTAATTAAACCTTTAACACACCCCTCTCTTTCTCTCTCTCACACACACACACAAATAAAAGCAACTCCGTCCTACCTTTTATAATGCTCTCTGGGAACGCAGTCGCATACAATTTGTTTTTTCCACCTGTCCCCGAAGCGATCGTTCATTCGGTTGGCCAATCTGTCACTCAACGGCCCAGCTCTCTTCCCGTAACGATTCGTCAAGAAGAACCTGTAACATTCATCATTTTATTACTGTTACTAGATGACCCGGTATGTTTATGTCAAAACTTAATACAAATGTTTAAAGCAGACCAAAGAGATCAGACCTCATACTACAGGTATGAAACACATTACTAAAGGCATCTTGCTATTAATGAAAAAGATGTAACGAAACATTTTATTTGTAAGCAAATTACCAAATCCTCATAATATCGACGCCACACAACCTTGTGTCTATTTTATCTTCATTACCTAGTTGAATTTTTTGTATTTCTGCAACAGCTTATATTTACATGAAGTCCAATGTGACATAGCTTTAACAAATAATATAAATTAGAATAAAGCGAAAATAAATTTAAAACAAATAAAATTATTATTTTCGTAAAATAATTTGTCACGTCGAATACACTCTGCGATTTAGACATATATATATCCAAAATCTAGGACACGTACCTATTACTTTTCTGTTGGTCTGCATCCACCTCTGCGTGACGGACCACCCTGTCGTTACAATAGTGATGTCAATTATTGCTAAATCAAACCTTATCTGCGTTGATATGAACTAAATTTGGTGAATTCCTTCGAGAAGAATTTAAAAATAAATTTAACGATCGATTTTATTTTAGTAGCCTATTATTTTAATTGACGCATTGGGGTTCATTCATTGCGAAGTACTTACTGTTCGTCACTTTCTTTCAGTATACGGCTGTTAGGGACGAGACTAGATTTTTAAACAAAAGTCGTAATTTTAACTAAGGGCAATTTTTATTGTTTTATGTCTCATTTCGCAGTTAAAGAAGAATTGAGCCACGTCATTGCTTGCGTTCAAAGAGATGTGATATAAAGAAAAAGCAAAAGCATGTCTTACATACATGCAACTCCAAACTAGTTGTTGTTGAGGAGTTTAACTCAGGATATTTTAAAGCCTTTCTTAAATAATTTAGTCTTAACCATTGATTTCTCGCGTCACGAAAGCCGTGCAAACATACTTTCTTAATATAATATATTATCAGTTTTATTAAATAGATTATAAGGAGTTATTTTGTGTACTCGAAATAATATGATTTATTATATTTATGATTTACTCACAACGGACCTATTGAGAGTCTAAGTCCGGAAACTGAGTCCACAAACCAGCCGAAATAATATGATTGTATAAGGGTTTCAAAAATAATTTAATAGGTCTGTAATTCACTCGCGAGCCTTCTAGCATTGAGATTGTCCATGGGCGGCGGTATCACTTAACATTAGGTGAGCCTCCTGCCCGTTTGCCCGCTGTTTTATAAAAAAAATGCATAAAGATTTGTTTTATTCTTGAGCCGCTAAGTGCCTTCAATGTTACCTGTTATTCGTCACAGCTTCAGCCGGTCCACGAAGGGAGCGTCCATAACGACCGCTGATCCAGAAAGTGTCGGCTGAACGCGGCTGACGATCCTCTGTTCATCATAAAATATATTATTTTGCGTTGGAACTTTTATCCCAATCCCGCCTACGTATTCACTTCTTGCCCAAGTATAAAACTATACGTCTTATTGTGGCAAAAGGTATTTGATTTAAACCTTAACTCATAGCCCCGTCTCACCTCCCTCAGACAAGTAGAAAATCTGGAGAGGCCGCTGAGTAGACGGAAAATAATGAACGGCTCACCTGCAGCGCCTGGTAGATATTACCGGTAACCCCAGAGCTGGTGCTTTCCTCGCTCGACCACTAAGTATCGCAATACAGCGAGGAAATGCTGCTAGCGTTAAAGGTACACCGCAAAAGGGACTAAACTTTTTAAATCTGTTTGAATTTTCTGTTTATCTATTTTTAATAATTTTTATTATTACTATGTAGGTTAAGAATATTATATATTTGTTGGTTACCTCGATTATGGTCCGAAGCACAGAGAACGGTTATAACCAGCGCCGAAAGGCAAAGTTGGCGCCACATGCTGCCTTGCCTTTTGAGCTTGCTAAAACAAAAACACGATACAGTTAAAAAAAGCAGTTGCTGCAGGAGTTATGGGCAATATTTATTGGCTCAAGTTTTAAGGCTTTAATATTTACTATTGGATATTAATATTTTTGTATTTTATATTTATTTTAACATGTTTACGGAATTAAGGATACAAAGAAAACATAAAAGGTTATTTGGATAGTAAAGTTGGGGAAACAAAATTAACATCAAATGTTGTGCCCTCAAGGCTAAATGCCCGAAGTGGGGCATGGGGCAGACATTTACTTAAATTTTTGTAGCTCCTATAAAGTGATAATAAAATGCCGTCTCTGCTATACTTCTTGTACTAAGCAGCTTTTGTTTTTGATAAAGTTATTTTTTTTGTACAATATATTCAATCTTGACGCTTAAGAAATGTTCATTGCGACGGAAAAACTGGTATTTATACTATTGGTTAAGACCATCGAGTTATAAAAGCTTATTTTCTATATTTCGTACTCCTACTGTTAACATAAATGATATATAACAAAAAACAATTATACTAAAGATATATCCAAAGATGGAATAGTTATATAACAAACAGATTCAAACATAAAGGAAAAACTAAATAAAAGTGATTAAATACATTTAACAAATTCCGCTGTTGTGTGATATTGTGAAAGTGAGTTATTTAACTAAAACATGACTTGTGATACAATCTCATCGGGAACGGTTTCAAACCAATATATATATTTTAAGTTAACATAGACTACCACTGCTAAGAGTATTGTAAATATTATAAAATTAATTTAATTATTCTCGAGGTATAACTGAAATATTCATTCACCTGTGTCCAAAAGTTTGACACATTCATAAATAAATTAAAATGTTATTAATTAGACCTTCAATCTCAATATTTATCTTAAAAGTTTTAAGACAAACAAGATGCTAATGAGTGGAAGATGCGAGGGTGGTGAATGCGAAACTTATATCATTGGATTAATTAATTATCTAAGGGTAAATGGCATTTGGGTGGGTTTGGTTGGCAGGGAAAAGATTTTATGAAGAGTCGTGAACCAGCGAAGTAACTTAAAAATTTCTTAATATGATATCGCTCAAACACTATACTGTTAAAATTTTAAATTACTTCTTTAGGAAATGATTTGAAAATGGCTTTTGAACTTGGAGTATACAGAAATTCATCAAATGATCATAACACGGTAACCTTTACACCTTAACACTTTTGATTGTTTTTTTAATTACATTTTTATTTATGTCTATTTCTAACTAAATGCCTTCTCGTCAAAAATAAGCAGAAATGGCTGCAAGTAATAATTTAAATTATTTGTGGATTAATGGAAGAAAGAGTCAGTGATACCATTTTTATATTATTACTAGCTGACACGACATACATTGTCTTGCCTTAACTATGTTGAATTCGAATTGGTATAATTAATAACAATAAATATTATTCAAAAACATAGTATTTCTTGTTCTATGATATGTGCTAAACTATATTTGCATCACGCACTATAATTGTCGTTTAAATTTTCTAATAATCATCAACATTCTTTTTTTTTCCTTCAAAAGAACCTTTTGTTGACAAAAATAAACAACAATTTTTTTTTTACAAAGTTTGAACAGTTATTTTATAAAATTAATGCTAATAAGTCACTGTGACGAAAATTTTTTTTCGACATTGAAATTTTTTGTTTTAATTAAATAAGCTGAATTTAGCTTTCTTTGTAGTATCCATATTATTCCAGAGAACTTTGGTGGTGTCCCAAAGTGCTACGGAGTTAAACAATCGCGTGTTGTGGGATATCTATTATAAAGAGGTAAAGTTTGGTAACAGTGTTATTAATTTACAAAGGTAATCTAAGCTCCTCTGGAGTAGTAATGCCAACAAGCACCAAGTCAGGAGTTGTACTCAGGAGCTGGCCATTCCCCAGCATCGGACGGCTTCATTTCGTGGGAGTTTTAAATATAGCGCGACGAAGTGTTGGAATAATATCCCTCCTCCACTGAAGAGTCTTCAATTAAAGTCAAATTTTAGTCGCAGTTATAAGACACATCTACTTACTCAACAAAGGTCCCACGAAATTTAGTTTTAATCCACCCAAAAAACAAAAACAAAAAATATCTACTTATTTACAATTATTCTTATTTTTAACTTTTAATTTTATTTTATTTATTATACACCCTTACAAACGATTTTCATTACTCACACTTCTAACTTTAATATTATTATGATTATTTTCTACTTAGTATTATTATTATTTATTTTATTTTATTAGAGGCGCTGTGGTCTCTGGCAGAATGACCAGCGCTGTGGAACTTTTTTTCTCCTCAGCATAATGCTGAGCCAGGGCCAATTACAACCACAGTACACACACATTGCTCACTGGAAGCGAACCGAATGGCAAAAGGGAATTTTTAATTTTTATTGTTTTTGATGTCTTATTTTATTTTTTTCTTTAAGTATTGTTATTTTGTGTGTTTATGTGTGTGTGTTTTCGTTTGTAATAAATGTTATGTATATGTCTATGTCTAATCTTCATCCTTTACAAACATTCAAAGTGCAGTTGCTCTTTACAAAACACTTGTTCGAAGGTTGTTAGAATATGCCACTGTAATCTGGTTACACCTTATGGTAGAAACATTTCAAAATGCACATAAATACTATTGTAACAGTTCAAAAACGTTTCCTAAGCTTTGCAATCGTCTACACTTGCGTGGTCTATAGCAAACGTACGAGGCCCATTTGGACGATTTCGTGACTTCATTGATCGTTTTTTTTGTATAAAATATTAACCTTTAATACTCATACTGACCTTCTTGCTAAATTTTCCTTTCTTTGTAATCCGTATATATGTTAACGTAAAATTGTAAATACCGTTAGATTGTAATCTATCTCGCGAGATTATAAACTGTCGAAAGATTGTGAACCTCAGCGTACTGCTTACAATTTAACGTATTATTATTCGGTAGATTGTAATCTATCGAAGTGAAACCGTCAAATTGTAAAACGGCCATTTTCTACTTTTCTATTGGTTATAAGTGATGTGACATTCTCGGTTAATTAATCGAATCGGTTATTTCCTCATTTGTTAATTTTAAAGTTAAACCTAATTTAACCATTACTTGTCAAATGTACATACATTACATTAACTTCATGTTTCAATTAGTGTAGGGTTCCGAAAATTTTGAAATTATTAAAAAAGTTAGCATCTGCCCTTGGATATCAAACATATTTTTTCACCTTTCTCGTAAAACAGATTAATATTCATTAATCTAATATAATAAATAATATAATATATTATATTATAATATATAGCATAATAATATAAAATGAATTACTAATTAAATGCTGAAAATATTATTTAAATTTAAAGGGAAAAATTACTAAACAGGTAATTACTACAGATGCAAATAACCAGAGATAATAAAGCCTTACTTACCTTAACCATATAAATATGACTGGCGCAATTAAATTAAGATTTGTGTTTAAAGAAAATTTATTAAATATTTTTACGCACAGAAAGCGGCAAATAACTTAATATGATATTAAATACAAAATATCGAATGGGTAACAAATTATAGATTAGTTTAAGTAAATGATTGGATTATAAAATTAACCTAAATATTCGTTAAAGTAAAAATTCTTCGCGAATATATCAGAATAAAAACTCTACGTGCTTGATATTTTCGGTAGTGGGCTAATCAAATAAAATTATGTTTACCATAATAGTCATATATTTTTGAAAACATAGCTTGTAGATAAGGCATTATATATGGTGTGGTGAAGTTTAATAAATAAAATAAAAGCTAAAACTTACCACGATATGAGACGCAAAATGAAATGAAGATTGACGTGGTCGCCCAAAAGACGTCTGAGCCCCAACTGAGGCTGTGTCAGAAGGCGAAGGCGGGTGCTGCGAGACATCAAAATTCAGTATATAACAGAAAACTGCAGATTTCATTTTAAGTCGAACTTTAATGAATTAATGATTCGATATCATATGTACAAGAAACATTACAATTACAGAAATCGTTTAATATCTAGTTTTAATGATATATTATTTCATTAAATATCACATTTCACATTACCTTTAGTTACAATGGAGATCTACCGTAATTACGGTAAGCGTAGAAATCACAAGTTATGAAGAAGTTTTGCTTGTTAGACAGAACAGCGCGCGCAGTTTCTTAAGCCGGCTCCAGACTCACGAGGCTTCTCGTCGTCCTCGCTACGAATATTGGCGAGTCCCGGCTGTACGAGTGGTATCCATCCACACTCTCGCTCTATTTCGTTGCTCGCTACATTTACGACTATTTGGACGGGATTGGAATAACTGCAGTTGCTTTATATGCCTCCAAATATTAGAATACCTTGCGTATCTCAAGTACAAATAAATAATCATCATCAAAATCATATATTAATATAATTTAATTATAGGTTTTGCTTAGGTGTCTTTTTAATGATGGTATTAATTATGTTTTTATTAATTGAACTAATTCTATAAAAGCTATAGTTAGCCTTAATCCAAACCATGGAGCTCTCCGCCCATTGTGATCGAGTGCCTCCCCAACTATGTCCATCATCTGGGGAGGATCAGTCAACTATGTACTGGGATGTCCCGCTAATATCAGGGCATACGGTAAGGGTTACCGTATCTCTCCCGAGACAGCTGACGAATACCGGGTGGTCCAGCGATATAGGCTGTCACTCGTCTTGCTCGGTCTGCAGGGGGGAGCAACAGAACTGGCGTGCAGGCAGGATGCTGTTCCACATGCGGCCATGTCCACGACATCTGCGGTCGCCCCTTCGACGCCCGGCGTCACCCCTAAAGGCGATGCGGACGCAGAGGACCTGAGTTATAAACATAGCTTAGGTGATGAAGAAAGGCAACAGATTGAATGCTTCAAAAAATTGGGTACTAGACGGGGTCGTGTGGAGCCTTTGCCACAAAGGCATATGAAAATGTTTTGCTAATTAACAAAGCCAAGTACAAGGATTTAGTATATTTTGTAATAATAACTTATTCCCTCAAAAATATCACAATTTTCTATAAGCATTTGTCAGTAACAGACAAAAGTGACGAAGATTAACACATTTTAAAACATTTTTATTTGTAAATTTTTGATAAAAAAATTTTTTTTAAATTACTTGTAGTTACGTAAAAAATTAAAGTTTTGAACTTTTAATTACTATTTTATAATTATAATAGTACAAAATGTCAATGGCTTGTTGCTTGACCTCAACATCTCTTTATATTAAGTTCCTACTGTGATTTATTGTATAAGAATATTCATTTCTAGAAGTTTTAAGTTAAATTAATATATTCGTACCCCTGTACGTAGTGTGTTATAAAGACATTTATAAATATTTATAATTAAAATAAATAAATATCTATTTAAAGTAAACTTTGTTTCTATATTTTATACATTCCTACTAGATAATTAGAATACAATTTTAACAATATTTTTCAGAAGTATTATAATTATTAGGTACGCGTTTTAATTGTCTATTATAAACAAAAACAGTTGGATAAAATCCTGTTATTCCTTGCTATCTACTAATACAAAACGCTAAGTTCATATACACTATGAGTTACATTACGCTATATATTTATTAGCAGCTTGTAACATGGCAGAAGATTTTCTTGTTATTCCAACTACAAAACTCCAACTTCTATAAATTGATATAAATCGGTGTTATTAGGAGAAAATATTGGATAAAATAATGTAAACAAGTTACAAATTAGATTTTTACATAACTAATATAATATTGTTGTCATCACCTATATGCTAATCAGACATATGTTGCGACCCTTGGCTTTCGACCGCTCCGCTGGAAATATGTACGGCGTTTACGGGTAAAGTATCTGTATATGTGTCCAAAAGGAATTACACAAATGCCGTACAGTAATAAATGACCTATATTGCTTCTGCAACTATCGTCGAATTAAAAATTTGCACCGACTTCCGGCACCATCACTTTAGTACGGCACTAGGTTTTTCGACATTTATTTTTAATCATCTATACACTTATAACAAAGCCGTACATTAATAATTAGTCGAAATTCCTCCTTCGTATCTGAGAAGTTCCATTCACTCACGTACTCACATGTACCGCTCAGAAATGACGGCATAGTGCTCAGAGTTATTTTCAGATATAGTAACAGCCTTCTAAACGTAATTCACGTTGGGTCATTTCACAGGTATTTTTTGTTCATGGGCTTGTGGTCTATAACGATAATGCTTTCATTCATATTTTTTTTAACATACGTATCAGCCACGCATCCGGAAAATTATAATAAAAGTACATTCAACAATAATAAGGAGTTATACTTAGGCAAAATAAGCAATATGCAATTAATTCACGAAAATGGAAAATCGTTGTCTACTGTGACATGAACCCCTATTGGGAAGGAGAAAAGGCATTCGAACAATACTATAAAACTTTACAAGGCATGTGTTCTGCCCTCGATCAAAAAACACATTGCGAAATTCCTATGAACCAATTACGTCACGGCTTCGAGGAACTCAAATACTACGATCAGGTGTTGCTTACACAGCACCCGCGCTCGAAGCGGCGTCTGCGCGACCTTATCAACGGTGTCGGTTACGCAGCAAACTCCCTATTCGGAGTATTGGATGAATCATTCGCTGAGCAATATCAAAAAGATATCACTTTAGCTAAAGAGAATGAGCAGCATTTGGCAAACCTGTGGAAAAATCAGACCTCTGTTCTGGAAGCGGTCAGAAGAAGAAAATTATAATTTACGAAAATTTATAAATCGACACGCAAACGAAGTGAAGAAGGCAATTAGTACTCAAGTTACTGAAATCTATAGTCTAGAGCGTATTACTCAGTTAACAGTTGACAGCATCTCAGCATCAAACGTACTTGCTAATTTAAAGAATATGCAGGAGTATCTGATTGACTCCATCACAGATGTTATCACAGCCATTATCTTTATAGTCATAAAATATATTTTTTTACGCCGGAACGAGGAATCTCCTGTTATATCAATAAACTTCAGGCGCGATTTGGAGAAAATCTGTTAATTATATGTTCTTATATTAAGTACCTATATTACACAAAACAAATTAAATTTTACATAGTAGCCTTACTACCTAATTTGAGCATTCAAAACCACCATTCATACACACAAAATCACATGAACATTATACCTACTCATAAAAACACTCTTCTACATAAATACAACTTACACACCTGCCTATGGATATTAAATGTTATTAAAAAATACAAACATTTGCGCCGGTTAAAACCTCAATATTCTGTGCTTAAACATCTCGGGTCTTCATCGCTAGTACTATATATAAATATATGCATACACTTTTACCTAAGTTTGTTTTATCAAAATGTCCGTGGATTGCGCACAAAAACATTAGATTTAAAACAGAACATACTCATGAACGACTTCGATATTATTCTAATCACCGAGACTTGGTTAACTTCTGGCTTTTACAATACTGAATTATGTGATGACCGATATGATGTGCTCCGTCTCGATCGGAATTCTAAAAATTCTACTAAAACGTCGGGCGGCGGTGTTATGTTATGTACGAAAAGGTCTCTGCATGCGCAAGAGATGGCCGAGTGGACGTGCGACGGCGTTGAGTGTACCTGGTTGACTATTCCCGCTAGTACGCTCGCGTCGAATGAATGCATTAAACGCGAACTACATATATGTATTGCATATATACCACCTGACGATTTGCAGTCTGTAAGACTTACAGCGTTTACAGACTTTCTCCTATATATTTTCTCATTACACCCAAATGATCATTATATCATAGCTGGCGATTTCAATCTACCCCACATAGGCTGGTCTCCAACCTTTGATCCCACCTTCCTTAGACGTGGTACTATAAACCTACAAAATGCGGGTGCAAGGTTTGTTGAATCATGCAGTAGTCTTGGCTTCAGTCAGTACAATTTGCATAAAAACTCCTCTGGAAATATACTAGACCTAATATTTAGTGACACATACATCGAGGTGTCTAAATCTTGCAGTTATCTCGTTAAAGAAGACCCAAGCCATCCATGTCTGGAACTGAAAGTGTCGGAATTGATGACGCCTAGTATTAAATTAAAAAAGGAGATAAGATATAACTTCAAGAAGGCTAACTACGATAAATTAAATTAATATCTTAACGGTATAGACTGGAATGACTCTCTAAGAGGCGACACCATTGACATAATTGTGCAGAAATTTTATTCAATCCTCCACCGTGGAATTGATCAGTATGTGCCTAAGACTACCTTTTATGCTCATAACAAATATCCGGTCTGGTATACTAAGGCGCTCATACACATAATACGCGACAAACGAACCGCTCACTCTCGATGGAAAGCAAGAGGAAACCCATGAGATTACGATGAGTTTTCCTTACTTCGTTCAAGACAGAAGGCAGTCCAAAAAAAATGTTTTAAGTTATATATGCAAAAAATACAAACATCGTTAAAGAAAGATCCAAAGAAAATCTGGTCATATCTAAAAACCTTACGAATTAATAACACTGGCTATCCAAATAGATTACAATTAGGAAGCAATATATATAATAACGAATCGGAAGCATGCACGGGATTCAGTACTTTCTTTGAGAGCGTATTTCAACAAGCAGCACCTTCATACCATGAAATTCTGCAGACCAATACGGAAGTAACCGACAACATTATATGTAAACTAAATTTGATATATTAAAGATACTAATATAATATATAAAAAGATATTCATTAAATGCGGAAAAAGGAGCTGGGTATGACGGTATACCACCTATTTTTATCAAAAAATGTGCTCAAGCTATTACAGAACCACTGTACATAATACAGAACTTATCCGTGAACACATTTGGCATTTATCCTGATGTATGGAAGATAGCTAAAATAATACCTATTCATAAGAGTGGCTCGCGGTTGAGTGTTGAAAATTATCGACCAATATCGATACTTAATACTTTCAGTAAAGTCTTTGAAAAGATAATTTATAAAGCCATCCACAATATAATAAGTAATTCACTTCCCGATGAACAGCATGGTTTTGTCAATAAACGTTCTACGATAACCAACTTAACCGTGTTTACGAACTATGTACTGCAAAGTATGGATGGTGGTGCACAGGTTGATGTAATTTACACAGACTTTGAGAAGGCTTTCGACAGAGTGGATCACACCATCCTATTACATAAGCTCCAACTTCTAGGGATACGTGGTGACCTTCATCGCTGGTTTTGTTCGTATATAACAAATCGTAGACAGGCGGTTGCGGTTGGCAGTGCTAGAAGTGACTTTGTTCGTATAAGTTCTGGAGTTCCTCAAGGATCTATATTGGGTCCCCTGTTATACAATGCATATCTTTATGACATAAATAGTACCATTAAAGATTCAAATTACCTTATGTTCGCTGATGATAAAAAGATATATTTAAAAATAAACAAAGAAGTAGACTTCACAAAATTCAGGCCGACCTAAATAACCTTTCCAATTATTATAGACAAAATCGAATATCGGTTAATACTTCTAAATGTGTCAAAATAACATTCACCAGAAAAAAAAACAAAATTAACTTTAGCTATCATATTAATAACAAATCTGTAAAAGAAGTAGATTGTGTTCGTGACTTAGGTATATGGTTAGACTATAAGATGACATATAATAACCATATTGACACAATAGTTGACAAGGCCTATAAGCAGCTTGGTTTTGTATGACGTGTTAGTGAACATTTTCATGATGTCGACTGTATGAAAGTGCTATACTATACATACGTAAGAAGTATTCTCGAATATGGTTGCTCGGTTTGGTCACCTAGTTACACTGTACACAAAGAAAAAATTGAAAAGATCCAAAAAGACTTCATAAAATTTATCTCCTATAAGACCTACAATAAGTTTAATACATATAATGACGCGTGTGAACATTTTAAATTTAATACTTTAGACTCTCGACGAAAACAATATGATTTATTGCTACTACATGACATCATCTCAAATAAAATTAATTGTAGCTCCCTTCTAGAAAAATTGCCCTTCCTTGTTCCTGCCTACCAGACTCGTAATCGTGCTTTGTTCCATGTTCCTCACATTAACACTAACTATGCAAGGAACTCAGTTTTGTATCGCGCAGCCCGGACATACAACGACCAATATTTAAGCCTTGACCTGTTTAAGCTGTCGCGGAATATGATTAAAAGAAGTATTAAGAATATCCATAGCGCAAAATCACCTGCATCATGAGCATACCCCACATACACACCTTCACGTACTTACCCTCACTTTTACACCATCATACAACACAACCAAATTAGGTACCACTTAGATAAACGTATTGAATAGTTTTTATTTGTTTGTTTCCTTTTATAAATTCTTGAACCATTTTGTAGTTAAATGTATTATTATGTATTCCATATTTGGCTATATTTTTAATGTAACTGTTTGTTATTGTATATAATTTATGTTAGCTGTAGGTTAATTACGAAGGCCACAGCCGAAGGTTTCAAAAAAAACCAAATGTTTTAAACTAATTTATTAAAAATAAAATTACAATTTAAACTATAATTAAAATACGGCTAAACAACCCGAAGTAAGGAAATTGAATGCACCTAGAATATGGAAATAATAAGGCTCGAAGAGGCACCAATTGCTGACACTATGCAACGTGAGGCTCGTGTAACTCGTGTAAGTTGCGACATACGAATTCCGCTGACACCATGTAACGTTAGGGACGTGCGATTCTTTATATATTGCGAAATGCAGATACTATGGTATAGGGCTACGTAACACCTCCCCCCTGAGTTGAGTTGCTGATGAAATATGTCCGGGATTCACTTTTACTTGACTGGGGTTTTCAGGAACTTGTTCTTTTTCAGGATGTCCTTTTGTTTCAGGTTTAATTCCCATTCGTCTATATGTCACGATGCCAATTAAAATAATCATTACTATCAATGCTACATATAAAGGTATAGTAGTATGATATAGACTTATATCCTTGTCTTGATTAAGATGTACTGGAGGCTGCATAGACATCTTCGTGTTAAGACTATGAAAGCTGTTGAGGTCTGTAGAGGCCAGGTTTAATGTTGGCTGTTCAATATTCTTGTATTCGATATATTGCGGTATTTCCAATATCTTGACAATGTGACCTTTTATACGATTATTCATATTAGTAATGGTAAATCCTGGTGCCTTGAGGTAACAGTTAAGTGGAATGACTGCTACATAGCTGCCTTGTAGTGTCCTATATTGTTCTTGTCCACAGAATAATTTAACTTTCGTTAAAGTTGGAAAGCTCATTGTATAATGCTTATCATCAAGTTGCTCTAATGCTTCATTTTGTAGGACGACTGAAGTTAAGGGACAGGACTGGTTGAGCTCCTGTTGAGTGATCAGCTGCTGGATACAATCGTATTTATCTTTCTTATAATCTGGTTTTGAGTTGCAGAGAAACCATGAATTTAACTTCGGACATTCTGTCTCTATGTACCTAGAGTCTTTTCCAGATATTGCCAAATATGGAGAGGTGGGAATAAGGACTTTATGGTTCTTATTTGGGACAACGGCTAATTTATAAAGGTCATAGGTGTAGGATACAATAATTGGGACTTTTATTACAATTACTATTTGCCTGTCTAAATAAAAATACCCTAACTTAATTAATTTCATAAAAATTCCTAAAATCTATATCAAGGATTTCATCTTTTGAATATAAAACCCTTAACTTATCTAATATATGCTTAGCCTCTTCTAAATCGATTAACGAATAAGGAGTGCTCGATGCACGTATAAACGATAATGTATTTCCTAAGCTAAATAATTCCTCAGATAAATCTTCTATATTATCCGATAGAATAAAGAGATGCTGAGCTAGATGAGCATACTCAATTAAATCAGCTTCTAACTGATTATTTTTATCTAAAATTAATTTTACTTATTTATCAATTGATTCTTGATTCAATATAATGTCTTCTATAACTTTGGAACTTTGCGTAATCCACTCTTTATTTAAACTTATTCGGGTATTAATTTCAGACTCTAATGTTGCATCGTTTTCTTGTAACAAATTAATAGCATTTTCATATTTAATTGCATCAGTATAATCTAAATTACCAGATATAGATTTAATTATAGATCCAAGGCCGTTAATGAGTCCCCTTTTACTGCGATGAAATTGAAAAGTACGAAGCTGGTCATGTATTTTCATAAGTTTACCTTTTAAATGTTCTACATGAGGATTAAACATAGATAACGTCTTATTACTTAACTGCGTACTCAAATTGCCAATTTGAACTTCAACTAATTCTATCTGGGATTGTAAATTATCTAAATTTATGTAATTCAAAAAGGAATGATAGTGAGAAATAATCTTAGCGGGTCCTAGTTTAAATGGAAGTAGTCCGGGTCCATTGTCCAATGATTCAATTGTCACATCTTGTCCTTGAGTCTTATGTAGAAGGATGGTCAACAAAATTGGAATCCTGTAACAAGGTGGGGTCTTTAGGACTTCGCTTAAGGCGTGACTTTGCAATAGGATTTCGCTTTTTCTTTGTATAAATATGTATAGGAAGGTCAGCAAGGACAGTGTCCTGGGTAAAACGAGGAGCTAATTTTTGTCGAGATGCTAAAGGATTACGAATAAACACTTGCTCGTCAGGACAATATTCTTTTTCAGGCTCACGGTCTTTATTCCTATTTTCAGTTAATTGGGTTCGGTCATGTAAAGAAGTCTCATTTATTAAGTCATATACTTGGTTCATACGTTTCTTGTGATCCTGTGAATATTGCTGGAGTAAATGCTCTGATATGTCGATATCTATTGGGTCACGTGGGTCAAAATGTCCAGTTATCAAGTCTAAAGGTCTACACTTAGGTTTAAAGACTTTATTTCTCAAAAAAGACAAAAAATGTCACTTACATGAGAATAATACTCTAGATAACATAACATTGTAGTCGTTCTTAAAATAATTACAATAAAATATAGCCGTACATGCAATAAATTTAAAAATAAAAGTAAACAAAGAAATATGAATTTAAAAGTAATTTTGTTTAACATATTCACTTAGCTTCGATTTGAATGAATTGATAGAAGTAATATTTTTTATATCTGTGGGTAGTTTATTATACAGCTGTGCGCCTTCGTAGGTAAACATTTTTTTGCCGTAGTTCGTACGTACTTTAGGTAATGCAAGATAACTCGTTCGACGCATACTTCGTACACGTGGCGGTTTAGAGAAAGCTAAACTAGTGTGGAGAGAACTTGTTATAAATTTTTTTACAAGAATACATGTGTGATAAATATAAAGTTGTTTTAGATTCATTATGTTTGTGTCTCGATATATATTTATGGTAGGTGCAAGATAATTATACTGGAACAGTATTTTTATAATTTTATTTTGTAATACTTGAATATTTATTAATTTAGTTTTAGCGGCGCTGCCCCATACTTCAATTAAATAAAGTAGATGTGGCTTGACCAACGAGTTGTAGATGGTGTAACGTACCTGACGTGGGATACACCGAGCAATGTGTCGAAGTGATCCCATAAGTGAACAGAGCTTAGATCTGATGTGCTCAATTTGTGTATTCCACGTCAAACCGCTATCCATTCTAAGACCGAGATATTTTTCTGTATTTTTTTCTTCTATGACCGTGTTATTTATTTTTAATGGATCATGAGGTAAAACTTTTTTATTTTTAGATTTAAATATAATGTAGCATGATTTTGACGCGTTGACAGTGAGTAAATTATATTGAAACCAAGTGAAGAGTAGATTAAGGTCTTCTTGGGCTCTGCTGAAGATATCTTTGATTGAACTGCCAAAGTAAAATAAACACGTATCATCTGCATATAAAGTAAGGTGACCGTTTAATCCAATTTCATGCAAGTTATTTATATAAATAAGAAAGAGTAATGGACCCAAAATAGAACCCTGTGGAACGCCGTATTCGATAGGCAACGGTTTACTCTGAGTATTATCTATTTTAACTACCTGAAATCGATTTTTTAAATATGATTGAAAAATTTTGAGAGCTGTACCTTTGATTCCAATGCATTCAAGCTTTTGTAGTAATAGTTTATGGCTTACAGTATCAAATGCTTTTTTTAAATCAATAAATACACCTAACGTAATGTTTTTATTATCTATGTTGGTCCTAATTTTAGTAATTAAGTCAATAGTTGCAGTTAAAGTATTACTTTTTGGTCTAAAACCATACTGTCGTTCAAATAAAAAATTTATAGACGTTAGATACTTTGTGAGACGGTTATATAGTATCTTTTCAAGTATTTTACTTATTATGGGTAGCACCGAGATTGGTCTATAGTTTCCAGTATTAGTTTTAGATCCAGATTTAAAAATGGGAGTAACTTTAGCTATTTTTAGAGAGTCTGGGAATTCTCCAATTTCTAATAATTTGTTAAAACATTTAGATAGGTTTTTAGCAATATGATCTTTTATACATTTTATAGATTTTGTGCTAATACCGTCCAGGCCTGCACTACAATGTGTATCCAAATTATTTATTACTTTTAAAATTTCGTCACTACTACATGGTTCTAGTATCATCAAGTTTGTAGACTGTTTAGTTGAAGGTAAAGCTTTTGAAAAATTATCATGATAGGTTTTTGGTATTTCGTCAGCCAGAATTTTACCTATTCCAGTGAAGTATCGGTTAAATTCCTCACAAATATTGTTTTTATTAGTAATTTCGATAGAATTTATTATAATTTTCGAAGGCCCACAGCTAGTATTTGTTTTATTTTTTGCTAGGTCATTTACAAGGTTCCACATTTTTTTCGGATTATTTTTTAATTTTATGAATTTTTGAAAGTAATAGGCATCTTTGGTATCCCTAATGCGTTTAGAAACATAGTTTTTATAGTCTTCGAATTCTTGCTTTGTAGTTTCACAGTCACGCATGTTTTTTAATTTTATCCATAGTTTATTTCTTTGGTTTATTTCGCTGATTAACTCATTATTAATCCAATCCTTTTGAGGTTCATTAAGTATTTTCTTTTTGATTATTTTACAGTTGTTTACGTGATCTATAATAGAATTTTCCAGTATCTTGTAGTCATCATTATCTTCGTCAAGTCCAAGAGTTGTTGTTAATTTTCCCAATTTTTCGTAATCGATCGCTTGGTACTCGATAATTTCTTTCTTCAGAATCTTGCCAGTTTTTAACTCTACATATATATGTTTATGGTCTGACATAGAAGATTCTATTAAAGCCATGTGAAAGTGATCTTTTATTAAGTTCGTTGTAGCGTGATCTAATATAGATTTTCGTGTTGTTGAATCCCTTGTGGAATACTTTTTAGATATTTTATTGAGTATTGTGTATCCAATTTCGTTCATAAGTTCAATGTACTGCTTAGATTTAGTGTTTTTAGTTAATAAATCTGTATTGAAATCTCCAAAAACTATAGCTCTGCGTCTTCTCCGAAGCTGTTGAGTGTATGCTTCAAGGAATTGATTGTAGTTAGTATTACCAGGGTAATAGATGACACCTACTTCTATTTTATATCTTTTTAATTGTACCCAAAGATAATTATTTCCATCCTGGTAGATTGATTCTGACAAGTTGTGCTCAAGACTGTTATGAACATATATAGAAACTCCACCACCAATTGTATCTGTACGATAATTGTAATAGTGTGTGTAATTTGGTAGTTTTAGTTCGCAAGCCTGTTTCTCATTTTTGATCCAGGTTTCAGTTAGTAATATTATGTGTATAATTGTCGAGAACGATTTAAGCACGCATTGTAGTTCATCAAACTTTCCTTGTTTGCAAATACTTCGAGCATTTAGATAAAAGAATGACAGTCTGGAATTAGTTTTTTTTATGTCGTTGTAGCTGTCGAGCACTTGATATGTGTTTACATTCGCTATTGCCTCTTTAATTATCAGTTTTTTGATGAAGTTTTTATTATTACTGGTGTTCCGTTTTTATATTTTATAGTTATGTCTGTTTCGCCATTACTTTGACGTCGGAGCAATTCTTCTTTTAAGTTTTTTAGGAATTTTTGCTGTGCTGGAGTTTGGTCTGAGAAAATTTGTATTGTTGAAGGCAGCTTACTTTTGTTTTGAAGAAGAAATTTGACTGTGTCTGAAGAGTTATAGAATACCTTAACTCGACGAATTTTCGTTGGATTATATTTGCCTAACCTAATAATTTTTATCGGTTTCGGAACATCTTCTGTAAGTGCTCGGAATATATTAAATATATCGGTTTCGTCTTTAAGCATATTTTCTCTTAAATTATTGGTATTTTGTTCTGGTAGCCCAGCCATAATGATGTTTTTCTTTCTTTTATTTCGTTCGTTTACTTCTTGAATCAATTCTTCGCTAAACATTGGTTGGATAAGCTTTGAAGATGTCTGGGGACACTTAGTGAAACTATGAATTGAACTATTATAAGCTAAAATTGCATAGGGCATTAAATTAATTGCTGGTTCACTTCGCTTCTCGAGCTTTAATATTCTAAGATGCTCAAGGATAGTAGAATGAAATCTTATACATTGCAAGAGGGGGATGAATAATAATTCCGGTTTTAACCTTGGGGTTAACATATTCTTTAATTGCGTTAATAACGTCATTGGTCAAGTTAGATTCAGAGAGTTGTACAGTCGTTCTGGTATGAGTTTCGAAAGGTTTTGTCACTGTCGGTCGTTTTTTTATGTCACCTACTAAAACGAAACAAATTTGTCGACTAAATCTATTAAGTGGGTCGTCAGATATAGGTACTTCTAAAATCGGGTTCTCATCACTGGTATGAATTGTTTCGGTGGCAGAACCAGACTGAGATGGAGGTTTTTCTGATGTATTTACAGCGATGGAACTCACGTCCTCATTATTGATTTCGACGCGAGATAAAGCATCGGCATTGGTATTCATTTTTCCTTGCTTATATTCGGTGGTAAAGTTATATTCGCTTAGTTTTAGCCTCCAACGCGTCAACCTTGAACCTGGTTCTTTAAGATTCATTACCCACTGAAGTGGCCTATGATCTGTTACGATCTTAAATTTTCTACCGAATAGATATGGTCTAAAATATTTAGTAGCCCACACTATTGCTAAAAGTTCCTTTTCAATAGTACTATAATTAATTTCACTCGAATTAAGTGTTCTCGATGCATATGCTATAGGTTTATCACTACCTATAGTTCCTTGAGAAAGTACGGCGCCAATAGCAAAATTAGATGCATCGGTTGTAAGAACAAAATCCTTATTAAAATCAGGATACTGCAAGATAGGATCATTAATTAATAATAATTTACATTTCTCAAAGCAATTAACATAATTAGAATCATTAAAAGTTATTTTAGAACCTTTTTTCAAACACTGCGTCATTGGTTTCGTTATACGAGCGAAATCAGGAATAAATTTTCGATAATAACCTACTAAACCAAGGAAACGTTTTATTTCAGTGGCGGTTTTAGGCAAAGGAAATTTTTGAATAGCTTTTATCTTATCAGAATTAGGCTTAATACCATCTTTACTTATTATATGCCCTAAATATGAAGTTTCTAGTTTTAAAAATTCGGACTTATCCATTTGTATCTTGAAATTCGATTCTCTTAACCTTTTAAATACTTTTTCTAAATTTACCATATGTTCCTGCAATGAAACACTAAAAACAATTATATCATCAAGGTACACTAAACACACTACATTTTGAAGATCTCTAAGAACATTATCCATAACCCTCTGAAAAGTTGAAGGGCTATTCTTTAAACCCATGGGCATTCTTAAAAATTCAAAGTGCCCATGTTCTACATTAAAAGCTGTCTTATGGATATCCTGAGGGTCCATTTCGACCTGGTAAAATCCACTGGCCAAATCTAAAGTGGTGAAATAATGACAGTTACCTAATTTATCTAATACATCATTTATATTAGGAATAGGATATTTATCATCAATAGTCTTTTCATTAACTTTCCTAAAATCGATAACAATTCGCCATTTGACTTTGCCAGAAGCATCAGCCTTCTTGGGGACAACCCATATGGGAGAACTCCATGCTGACTGAGAAGGACGGATAATTCCCTGATCGAGCATTTTCGAGATTTGATCTTGAACTTCCTGTCTGTGAACGAAGGGGTATCTGTAGCTTTTGGTATAAACAGGTAATTCATCTGAAGTACGAATACTATGCTTTATCTTATTGGTGAAAGTTAATGGCTCGCCATCAAGATAGAACACGTCAGCGTATCGAGAACAGAGTGACTCTAGATTGGCTCGTTCTTCAGGATTCAGATGGTCTGTACGTAATCGCGAAAGTACTTCGGATGTGCGATCGGTATGTTGTTGAGTGCGCGTGCACTGAGTATTAAATAATTCCGCACTAACTGGTCGGTCCATCGAAAATACTACATCATGTTTAGTCGGGTTGGTAATTTCAATAAAACCTCGGTTGTCCTTTACATTAGTAAGACAGTCATGAACAGTGCAGTTAGATATTGTCTGTTCAGTCACAAATGCGTCACCGTCATGAAAGTTAATTGGGACTCGAATTATTTTAGATGTATTGGCCGGTATTATTTCCTCATAAAGATTACAGTTCCGTGAATCATACATTCGCAGGGGGTTGGTAGAGCTCCGTGTAACTAGGACTTTATTTTTTAAGTCAATGCTAGATTCCAGTTTTTCCAGCAAATCTAGTCCAATTAAGCCATCGAAATAATTGTGAAATTTATAAATGAACAAGGTTATATCACAATCTTCACTAAATTCGCAAAAACATGGTATAGTTATGGAGTAATTATTTCGAGTGGTCGCATGAATATTAGTAACCTCAAAAGGGTCGTAATTACACTGTGTATTGGGATAGAATTTTTCTACTGCCTCGGGGCTTATAAATGATTGATTCGCCCCTGTATCAACCAATAATTTTAAGGGTGGATTTGTAATCTGTATGTACGGAAGTTGTCTTTGAGTTTGTAAATTTATTTCTATTTTTGCTTGTCTGATTTGTGTGTTGTCTGAAAATCCTGATTTGAAGTTGAACTCTCTTGTGTCTCTTCAACACTAGGAGGTGAGTATTCGTTAACGTCTTGATACTCTGTCATGTCATAAACTGGCTCAGAATAGTAATGTTCCTGGTAATATGGGTCATAGTGATAGTCGTTATAGGAGTAATAGTCATAGTCATATTGGTCTTGGACCTCATTAAAATTTAAATCATCCTTAAATTTGAAATAGTTTGAAGGTGGTGGGTTCCCATGTCTTGACCAATCATGCCCGGTAAAGACGGGTTTAGGTGGAGAGGTCTTACTGACATAGTGACTAACGCCACTCATCGGTTGAGGACCATTATTAACCGGTTTCTGTTGAGGCACTCTAAATACATTACTTTGTGGACGGTAATTTGGTGGAGGAGCACCAAACATCTGTTGTGTTCTAGAAGGGCCACGATTTAAAGGCAATTGAGGCTTCCAAACGGCCATAGGCATAGGCATAGGCCTATTAGGTTGTGGGTTTAAAAATCTAGAGGGACCTGGATTAAAATTAGGCATAAAATTAAAATTACGTTGAGCATTGGTCATATTATGTTGATTATTACCGTTATTATTTAATTTTCTATCGGGACAGTTTTGATTACGCTGCTAAATGTATAAGGTATTTTGTTCCTCATGTACAAATTCGAGGGCTTGTTCTATTGATTCGGGTCGCATACATCGAATTCGAGACCCAAGTGGATCACGAAGGCCACGCAAGTATGCTTGTAAAGTTAACTTTTTATATAATGCTCTTTTGGCCTCGATTATACTCTGTACCGAATCATGCAAACTAACATAAGTCATTATTATACTGAAAAGATTTTGGCAACGCTCATAAAACTCTTGAGGTGTCCCTGAATCTTGACTTATAAGAGATAAATCATTATAAAGAGAGGTCTCATCCCGGTGGTCTGCAAAATTATTTATTAAAGAATTGCGTATACTGATCCAATTTTCAGAAATTCCATTAGAGTTTAGAGTCCGCGCGGCGGGCCCAGTAACCTTATTGAGAATGCCATTAATAAGTGATAAATTGCTTAATTCATAACCCGGTTCCGCTGTTATAAATTTTGCCACCAATTGATCACATAAATTAATGAACCTAGTGAGGACATTCGGGTTACCATCAAACTCGGGAACTAAACGCAAGGCTTTAAAGATGTTGTCAACTAATTGCTCCGACATATTTCCTGTTATATCTCTACTTAAATCAAAATCTAAATTCCTACGTATAATACCTAACCTAGGGGTCCGTGATTCTCTAGGATGGAAAATCTTGGTATGGGATTATAATAAAAAAAAAAAATATAGGATAATTTGGCAAGTCTAGATAAAAACTAGGTACTCACCACATCTGGTCTCTTTGATAAATCGATGTCTGGATTTCCCTCTGGCTGCAGGCTCTTGTAGGTTTCTGGATTTGCCCGGTCTATGATCGATTCACTGACTTTACGAACAAATCCTACCGACTGCGCCAATTACGAAGGCCACAGCCGAAGGTTTCAAAAAAAACCAAATGTTTTAAACTAATTTATTAAAAATAAAATTACAATTTAAACTATAATTAAAATACGGCTAAACAACCCGAAGTAAGGAAATTGAATGCACCTAGAATATGGAAATAATAAGGCTCGAAGAGGCACCAATTGCTGACACTATGCAACGTGAGGCTCGTGTAACTCGTGTAAGTTGCGACATACGAATTCCGCTGACACCATGTAACGTTAGGGACGTGTTATTCTTTATATATTGCGAAATGTAGATTCTATGGTATAGGGCTACGTAACAGGTTTACAAAATAAATAAATAAATAATTTATAATTAAGTGCAAACATTATTGCATGTACAATGTACATATTTTTTTGATAACTCGATTTTACAAAATATGGTCTCATTTTACTTTAAATAAGGGTAGTTCGCGCCTCAAGTGTAAACGGCTGTTTTGATAGTTCTGTAGGAAAAATTAGTTTTTTTATAGTTCTTTTGTTGTTGGACGGTGTGAAATTAATGTGTACTTGCTATTTAACCATAATAGCATTGATACTGAGAGCAGGTTTGAATATAACTGTATAAATTAACTTTTCAAAATGAACTGTGCTGCGTGTAATAAGTCAGTGAAAAATGAAGACCTATTGGTCTGCACACCCTGCAGGGCCGCGAATCATTACAAGTGCATTAACATGACTTCAATACATTTTAAAAAATATATAACAAAACTAAAACAGTCTTGGAATTGCCCCTCCTGCCAGAATGTCTCGGCAAGGCGTAAAGGTGACGAGACACCCGTTAAGACTCTGTTATTGGAGTCCTCTCCGGAAAGCAGTGCATCATCAAATAGCATTTCGCACACCGGAACTAGCCCAGTAACGTATGAACAACTTAAAGTACTTCTGGAATCTAACATAAGTGCTGCTCTCACCGAGATTAAGAAGGAGTTT